AGCGCGAAAGAACCAGCAGGTATCAGGCCGTGTTTGACATGCGCCAATGTGCTCAAGAAACACTCAGGGATCTCTGGCGGCATGCCCGATCGGCTGGTGGAGATACCACGCAGAGACTGCAGCAAACTGATTCGCAATTCTGACGAGGCTGCATGGGCAACCCACGATGTGCTGACGCAGTTACACGGGGAAACATCGCAAGCCTCGTTCGCGCGCCACGAGAAGTCATGCGGCATTAACTTAACGCCTGCCGGGTTGCTTGCGGACGAACGCTTCCGAACGCATGTCGGCCTCGTTTCATCGCTCTACTTTAAACTGGGTGCACGTATACATGTGCAATGGGATTGTGCCCCAGGAAATGTTCTGCTCCATGTCGGCCTGCAAAGCAGTTCGTGCGCTGAAGGACATCTACCCGACGCTGAAGCGGCATTGCCAGGCAGACTTGTGTTTTCCACGGCAACACCGACGCAAGTCTAGGGAGGCGCACGTTGCTTTCTGCACAAGGAGAACGCATCCAAAAAGCACAGGCGAAGCAACGCTTCGGAACTGTTGTGCGTGTATCCCCTGGTGCGGCATTTTGCTTGCTCTGTCATCACTCCGTATTTCGATGAGCTGCGTGACGAGGTCACGTCCCTCTGTCAGCGCTTCGCTGTGATTGACACCATGCGAAGAGCTAGAGCAGGCGACATCGATGCTTCAGCGCTCGAAGCTGCCATTGATCGCCACGCGGGCGCCCCTGCCAGAGCACATGGGGCCGACGATTGGAGGCTGAAGTTTCATTTGGCGACGCACGTCCCAGAGCAGGTGGGGAAATTCGGTGTTGTAGAGACGTCGCACCTTCTGCCAATAAATATCCTGGATAACCAAGATATGTTCCAAGGCTTCAAGACAGCTGCAATTTCCCGCGCGCTGCTGGCGCCCATGCAGGGCCTCGAAGCTATCGACGAGCGTCCTGGGCTCCGGGGCGGCGGTGCTGAACTGTCACCCCTTCTCGCTGAAGCGGTCGGCAGCGACGTCGCCTATCATCCAGTGCTGCGTTTAATGGCTTGCTCGTTTGGGCAGGCGACATGGTGCACACACAAGACAAATATTTATGCGTCGCAGCTCTGGGCCAGCGCGGTGATGATTTATTCATTCTTGGGTCCAAATGCGTCGTGATAGGAACTCGGACGCCGAACGCGTCTGTTCTGCGGAAGAAAGGTTTGCTTCTTGCGTAGTGGAGCGGCGAATCGGTCAAGATGTGCCACGCTTGGTCGGAACTCGCCTGTGGTGACATACTCGCCTTGCACTGAGCGGATAACGACATTTGCCAGAACAACGATCGAATGACTCATCCACCAGTCGCCGCGAGCAGCGATCGAATCGCTCATCAACCCATCGCCACGAGCAGCAATTGACTCGCACATCCTCCCCGGTCCCCCTCCTCCTTCTGTCTGCTAGCGGGAACGGCATCATCAGCAAGAATAATGGGGGGTCGGGGCACAGGGGCAGTGGAAGGCGGAACGCGGACAACGAGGATGATGGGGGGGCGGGGATGATGGGCGATAACGCTTCCTGCATACAGATATAATGCGATCGTGGCCAAAGGGGCCCCAAAATGATTCAAATCTCCCATATCTTATTCTCTTACAAGTTACCTGTAACTTCGATAAGTTCTTTTGTCTGCAACTTCCAACTTGCAACTATGATAGTTACATGGCCGAGCTAACTTGAGCAGTCGCACTTGTGACTGTAAGAAATTCAACCAAACGCGTTGACATATAGTTGGGTAGTTACACGACAGTTCTACAATTGATCTTAGCTGTAGACCAACTTAAATTACACTATATCCGCAGTTGACCAGCTTCAAGTTTTCTAACCCGAAGTCGCTATCCCAGGGATGGGGGGGGTTAACGGGGGGTGTTGCCGGGGGGAAAGGGGGGGGTCCAGCACCGGGGGGGGATTTTCGGAAGGGGGGGAGGACCCCCGGGTTCCGGAGGAAGAGGGGGGAGAATCTTCCACAGTAAAACGGCGGTGGATCACGCTCTCTCTAATTTTGTTTTCGGTAGGAAAAGCGACATGGCGCAATCTATATGGTGCAATCGATGTGGTTCAATCATCTATGCGATGCACAAAGCAATGCCAAGCCATGCAAAGCGATGCAAAGCAATGTAGAACAATTCGCAGCGTCAAACGGCGCTACGCACAGCAGAACAACTCAAATCAATGCGAGGCAAAGCCGAGCAACGTGACACAGTGCGATTGCAACGCAGTGCAATTGCAATGCAATGCAACACAAGCAATGCGAAGCGATGCAACGCGATGCAAGGCAGTGCAAAGCAATGCAAAGCAGTGCAGGCCCAGACGACGGGCGACGACGACGGGGCGACGAGGCGGCGACGGCGACCACGGTGCCGCCAGACAGTCAGGCAGGCCCAAGACGACGGGCGACGACGCAGCGGCGACGCGGCAGCGACGGCGACCACGGAGCCGCCGGACCGCCAGACAGGAGGAGGAGGAGGAGGAGGACCAAATGCAACGACTGTTTGGGGAACAATCTTTCCGAGGTCCACCCGGATTTCTCAGATCGGCGCTGGGCCCCTCCTTGGCGCGCTCAGCGCGCCAGGGGCGGCGCCGGAGGCGCCGCCAGGGGGTCCAGCTCCGATCCGAGAGATCCGCGCGCAGCTCCGAACATGCACGTTTAGGGAATTGATTTTTCGAGCTGCAGCTCGAGGAAGGGGCGCGTTTGCGAGAGAAGGGGCGCGGCTGCCATGACGCCCGCCAAGATCTGCGTGGCGCAGTAAAGCACGGCCACCAGCCACTCTCCAGGCCTCAGGTGATCTCGCCTGGCCACGCCACGGCCGTCAAACGAGCATGCCGCATGCGCTGCACTCCAAGGACATATTGTGGCGACTCTCCACACGCGCACGAAACATCCTTGCTTTGTCTACGGCAATTTCGCGTCGTGACGACCCTGGCGTTGGTTTCTGACACCGCGTGGACCGTTCAACCTGGAACGATGGGTGGCTTTCAGATCACCAGGTCTTTCCAGATTGGCCGATTCTGGACAGCTGACGGCGTTGAACCTTGAGCGCCCGCGGCGGGGTCGCCGCCGCGTCGGAACACTACGACCATCTCCCCTCCCACCCTCCAACCCTGCAGATGGAAGGCAAGATGATGAAAAAGATACACCTGAGAAAACCCGATCAGTGGATGATTTGAAAATTGATATTATTTATGGATCTTGAGATCGATTGTGAGATCGATCATGAGGTCGATAGTGGAATCGATAGTGAGGACGATTGTAAGGTCGATCGTGAGACCGATAATGAAATCGATTAAATGAGATCGATCATGAGATCGATAATGAGATCGATCGCGAGATCGATCATGCGATCTCTAGTGAGATCGCTTGTGATATTAATAGTGAGATCGATTGTGAGATCGATGGTGGGATCGATCGAGAAGTCGGTAATGAGATCGATGGTGAGACCGATCGATAAGAAGATCGACCAAGAACCCGGGAACCAGGGAACCTCGCCGCCCTCCGAAATCGGCCTGGAACCCGGAACTGGGAACCCAGGAACCTGGGAACCCAGCCTGCCACCAAAATCGGCGGGGAACTTTCGCCAAATCGAGAAACACCCCAATCCGTGGATGGTTCCCAGACATGATCGCGTCGTAGAACATCACGACGGCGAATTTTCGGCCGTTTTCGGCCTCGTGGGGCCTTCGGCGGGCCTCGGGACCGTCAAGAAACAACTCAGGATGAAAAACCGGTCCTGGGGAAAGGGTCGGGACTTCTGGGGACCGTCCTGAAAAAAATCAGGACGTCGCATGTCTGGGTTTTCGCTGAGGAGATCGACAGGGAACCCGGGAGCCCGGGAACCCAAAACCCAACACCGAAATCGGCCCGGAATCAATCACCGGGAACCCGGGAGACCGGGAACCGGAAACCCGGGAACCCCGCCTGCCACCAAAATCGGCGAGGAACTTTCGCAAAATCTTTCAACTGCCGCTAGGACCCCTTCGTGCAGGCACTGATTGGGGAAGAACTCTCCCGCTTCCCAGTCGGAAACAGAGGCCTCCTTCGTCCCGCCCAGGCTGGCATCTGTGAGAGATGGGCGAGAAGGCCAACCAAAGAGAACACGGGCCTTGTCCAGAGATCGAACCGCAAGGCGTGTGGCCCAAGACCGCTGGGGCCGCATCCGAGAACCTGGGATGGCCTCAAAGTATCCACCGAGCCGTCCAGTCGGCCAAGGGGCTCAGTATACAGACGACCGAACTTCCCAAATTGTGGGATGTTTCCTCCTCCTCCTCCTCCTCCGCTGGGATGCTGGGGCGTCTATACGCCGAAGTCTGTCGCCGAACTAATGGGCTCCATGGCCGGCCAAACAACGTGGTGTACAGCTGGAGCACGGCCATAAGAACGCGGATCAAGATCATGAGCCTCGTCGTCGAGGGCACTCGGCCCCATGGAGATCCCCAAAGCGAGCAGCACTCCAGGGCAGAAAACCCATCCCAAACCAGTCTTGTGTTCAGCCCTGGTGCATACTGTTTTTTTTGGGGGGGGGGCAGATCCTTGCAGTGATGATGAACATCTCCAGCTTCCCCACTGAGCGAAAGGGGACCCCACCGCGCGATGCACTATGGAAGATAATGAAAAGACGGCGGGAGAGAGAACCACGACTGAACGACGGAATGAGAAAACGAAGGAGGAAACACACTGAATGCGTGAATGCGTTCGCATGTCCAACAATCGCGCCTGGGGCTGACGGCCTAGACCTCATCACTGGAGAGGTGCTCCGCGATGCATCAAATCCATCGAGCCGTAGTGCCGACGGCCGACTGATCGGCACCAACCGACCCATGTTAGAGCATAGAACCTCGTACCAGCATACCAGCATACATCGAGCACATCCCAAACCACCGATGGAGGGCCCAGAGCACGCGAGCCATACTTCCGCCGACCCGACCTCTGTTACAGCCCGCCTGGCTCGCAGAGAGATGCTGACACCTTTTTCCCGCTCCACACCCTGGCGGCCCCAAAAAGCCCGAAGAGGGGCCAGCCACCGGAGGTGGAAAACCGGGCCGCCACGACTCTTTCTCGGGCACGCGGGCACACGCTAGCATGGATCAGGGATCCGCGGATTCGGCGCGTGGGCGCCTCATTCACGGATCGGGGAAAACAGCCCCGAAACATGACGATGATGCCGCCAGGCTCGGCGTCGGAGCGCACCGATTTTCGTGGAAACAAGATCGTCACAAATCCGCGCGACTGCGTCCACGTTTGCGCTTCGTTGGCCCGCGGAGCCGGGGGGGGCGAGGGTCCGCGCACACTGCGTCGGGGCACTGCGCTGGCTAGCTTTTCGCTGCGGCAGGGCGTCGGCTCTGCCCACTGGGGGCGAAGCCCATGCCTGGTTGCCTAGAGGCCTCCCATCTGTTCTTTAACAGCATCTGGCCACTTCACCTCTGCTGCTCACTAGGCCCCTCCGATGGGGAAAAGGGCCCAGCTCCTCGACAGGGTCGCGTGGGCGGCCAGACAAGTCAGCCACCGCTCAAAAAGGCCGAGATAATAAGCACCCCAGTGCGACCCTACCTAGAAGTTGGAGACCCTAGGAAGCCAGCACTAGTTGCTATGTTATGCTATGATATGTTATGTTATGCTATGCGATGATGCGCTATGCTAGGCTATGCTATGCTGCGCTATGCTCTGATCTGCTATGCTAAGCTATGCTGTGTCATGCTGCGGTTTGCTATGCTAAACAATGATATGATATGCAAAGCTGCGCTATGATCTGATATGATATGCTATGCTATGCTCGGCTATGCTATGCTGCGCTATGCTATACGTGGCTATGTTATGCGATGCTATGCGATGTTAATGCAGCGCTGCGCTATGCTAAGCTAAGCTAAGCTAACCCACTAGGCAGAGCCTAGGAGAGGCTAGCTCGGCATCTGTCGCACATTGTTTTGGCGTTGCCTTTCCTTTGCTTTGCTTTTTGCGTTTGATTTGATTTGCGCTGCTTGTGTTTTGCTTTGCTGTCGCTGCTGTTGCGTTGCCTTTGCTGTGCTGCTATGCTTTGCTGTGCTCTGCTATGCTCTGCGATGCTATGCTGCGCTGTGCTATGCTGTGATGTGCTGTGCTGCGCTATGCTATGCTATGTTATGCTATGCTATGCTGCGCTGTGCTATGCTATGATGGGCTATGTTATGATATGATGTGCTCCGCTATGCTATGCTACGCTATGCTATGCTGTGCTCTACTATGCTAAAGCTCAGCGAAGCTAAGGTGAAGGTGAGCTAAGGTAAGATAAACCTGAGCTAAGATGAAATTAAGCTAATTTAGGGTGAAGTACGCTAAGCTGAGATGAGATAAGCAACGCTAAGTTAAGGGAGCGCCACTTGGGGAACCGCGAAACGGATGCCGGGGGAACCGCCCGGGGCGTGGACCACTGCCCGGCCCATTAAGCACACCGAGTAAGAACCCTTCTAGGCAGAGCGTAGGTAGGGGAACGGGGCAGAGAAGACCTTCTTCCAAGCAGGTGGGGCCTGAGCAGAACACGTAGGCGCAGCGGCTGGGAGTGTCACGGGGCCAGGCCCACACATGGAGACCCGTGCCAGAGACCCTCGGACGGGCGGCCCCTCACCAGGGGCGCAATTCCCGAAACTACGCAGGCAAGCGTGGGAGGGGCCACGTGAGCCGTGCCTTGGAAAGCGGTTGGCGCCAAAGAGACAATTCGGATGCCAGGGAGGTGACATCGAGAAAGAAGCGCACACTCCTGGAAAGCGCGCGCGTCAGCCAGGAGTTGCGAAGAAGCACGCGTGGCATGAGCGTAGCATTGCACGAAAGAAAAAGCATCACGTGTGGACCCGACGGTTCGAGTTGGCACCGATGATGATCTGGATCCTGCGGCTGAGCATCTCCAGCGAGGCGAGAGCGCCGACGTTCAGCCGGTCGTGCGCCCAGGCAAAGTAGAGGGCATCGCACAAGACCTTCATCTCGTAGCACGTCCGACCCGACCCGTTGATCTTGCGCTCCCTCAGCCACATGTACGAGAAGCCACTGCATCGGGCTTCGCGCCCGGCCCCTCTAGGGGCGTGTCGGGGAAGGCCTCCTGCGAGCTCTCTCGAATCATGTCTCGCCATGACTTGTACCTCTCCCCCTGGTTGTCGTAATCGACCCACAAGGTGCTGATGTCCGCGGCGGTGTCGATGTCCTTCTTGGCGGTCGTCTCGTCAGTCTCCAGGCCCAGCGACTCCCGCAGCGCCTCGTCCGACGGGCCCATCTGCCCGCGCTCGGCCCTGGGCGCCACAGCTTCCACGGCCTCGGCGGCCGGAGCGGCGGCCGCGGGCGGGGTGGCGGCGCCGTCCACCGCGTCGCCAGCGCCCGCAGCCCAGCGGTAACGCTCACTCCTGACTAGGTCGGGGACACTCTCGGGCTTCGCCAACCAGCAGTGGACGCAGCAAAGGCCATCCAACGCGAGCATGTCTTTGGGCCCAGCTCGCACGCCGCGCCAACCGCGCACATCGACCTCGTCGCCTAGAGAGAACTCGCCGCCGTAGCCCATCGCGTACCAGCCGAAGCCCCCCAGTGGGCGCTCGGCGTCGAGCTGGCCCTCAGGCCCGGCGGGGGAGCCACCCCGCCGCCGCCGCCGTCAGCCGCGCCCTGCTTCCCGCGCGCGCGGCGCGCGGGTGCGGGCCAGCCAAACACCAGTTCCCTGATGGCAACCTCCTCGCCCGTCGGCAGGAACACTTTCTCAAGGACAGGCGGAGCGGTGCCCTCGCACCCCTCCACGGCGGTTCGGTGTCCACGCTGAGCATGTCCACCAGCTCGTCCTGGCTCGGGTAAAACACGGATCCGGTACACTTTCCTCGAGGGCCAGCTTTTGAGCCGTCGTCGGGACAGGGATACGTTCTCGTGATGTGGGCGTCGGGCCCAATCGTCACGGCCTCCACGTACTGATCCAGGTCGGGGGTGAGAGTATACCAGCGATCCTGGTTCGCCGAGCACGGGTGCAGTAACAACCGTTCTTGGTCCACTTCGTCGCCTAGGCACTGCACTCCGATCGTTTGCCCACCCATCAGATCAATCCGCCACGCCACGCCCTCCTCGAACATCAGCCGGGACATTCCGAGCTGTACGAGCTCCGCTGGCCGTGCGCCTCGCCGTCGGCCTCCTGGCCCGCTCCTGCACGCACCCCGACCGCCGCGCGCCAGAGCCCACAGGCCAGCAGGTGCGCCGCCCGCCTGCCCTGGCACGCCTGACTCGGCCGCCGCAGCCTCTGGGCAGCTCGGGCCATGCGGGCAGGCGGGTGCCTCGGGGCAATCGGGGCAGCCTTGGAGGCCTGGAAAGTGGCACCAACACCAGCACAGGGGGTGGCCCCCACAGGGGGAAGATGGCCCAAGATTTTTCGGTGCTGATGATAATAGTTCGGCCACCTCGGAAACCACAGTACCATCACCATCACCGAGACCGGGATCTTCTTCCCTCGGTGGAGGCACACCGCCGATATTGTAGGGCGACGATATCTATACATATCCACTGCTCCTGGCCAGGCCCATCCTGGGCCCATGAGCGGTGTATATGCCTCCCTGGCCAAGCCAGGAGGGCGTATACACAGCTCTTGGGCCCAGGATTGGCCTGGCCAGGAGCAGTGGATATGTATAGATATCGTCGCCCTATATTGGTGTTGGCGTCAACTTCGGGGCCTGCGATGCAGCCCCACTCCAGCGGCGCCGGGCAGATCGGGCCGGGCGGGGCCGCCGCCGCGGCGGGGGCGGCGTGGGGCGCCTCGCCCCCGGCCAGCTCCAGTCTCCAGAGGCCGCCCGCCGCCGCCGCCACACGCGCCGCCAGCGCCGGATGGGCCAGCCGCACTCCAGGCGCGCCCGCGGGGCCGGGGAGAGCGGGCGGCATCCGCTCCCCGAAGCAGCAGAGTTGAGAGAGGACGGTTGCGGACGAGACCCTTTTGAAGCACGTCGATAGTCACGAGCCCCCAAAAGACATTGACGGCGAGCGCGGGGGGGGGAGTGAGAAGGGGCGGGCCTTCTCGGAAGGCTCGGAAGTCCCCCGGCCTTCTGGGACGTTTTCCAGGCCTTCCCCGAAGACACAGAACACTTCTCAGAAGGCGCGAGGTTGTCTGAAGTCCGGCCGCCTTCTGAGAAGGCCTTCTCCTTCTCACTTCCCCCCCTCGCTCGCCGCCGAAGATAGCTATGTGCACGCACCCCTCTATACACACCAGGGGGGTTCTGGGTCGCTTCTGCTGAAGTGTACTCAGACGACTGAAAGAAAGCACAACGATAGACACGTACATTCATAAACGAAACAACTAGGAAGAAAACAACATAAGAACACGAACCATGACAACAACCGTACGAATGAGACTAACCAGAAAAAGCGAGCGCAGCATTGAAGGACCAAGAACGAGCTGGCCTTGCCAATGATAAGGACAGCGTTACTGCCGGGTTCAAATGTCCTCCAAATGCGCTCGCGGGCACACTGGCTACCCTCGACGGTCCCTTCCACGCGTGTTGATGCATCCCGCAGCGCACAGCGCCATGCACCATATGCGCAACTGATGGACCCTTTGCTCAAATCTACAACCTCCTATTGTGGCAACTGGAAGAGTTTAGCCTTCAAAGCATTGCACACATGGAACAACAAGACACGAATTCGCACAATGCCAAAACCCGTGTTATCTGCGACGACGCTTGGAAACGCATAGTTCAAGACTGCCTTAGTGAGTGACGCGGCACGACATGATCCAGGAGACATGCAAACATCAAAACAGCAGACCAACCCACATGAATCATGCGCTGACCGCTCGCATCAATGGGTACCCCACCGCTCCCTCGACTCCTCCTGAAACACTGACGGTGCTGTATGTCGTCGCCCCAACCACCAGCCCAGTAGCCTGAGGATGCGTGAGAATCCATTGATTTATTGAACGAGCGCGCGCGTAGCGGCTGTGAGCGCCACACACCAAATGTGCACGTTCATCGAATGTAGCAGGCTCTGCACAGCAAAACGCAACTGGCTCATCGACGCATGACTGGAACACACGACAGTGCTCTTTGGAATTTCACGATTGACAGAAAGCTTGCCAACCGACACCTGACAAGGAGACAATTCCTCTTTGCAACCGTTCACGAGAATCATCCTAACTACATCTGATAGCAAGCGAAACCCATGCGCTTTATAAGATTGGCTCGGTGACGCGTTTGCGCTCTTATTCCCAGGTGGCAAAACACGGCCGGACCAGCTCGTCGCGTCAAGCCTGTCGATCACCCACCCAACGAAACTCTCAAGATGTCCTGGCCGAGACACGGGGGCCGACTGCGTCGGATAGCCGGCCAGAGAACGGCAGCGATGCACCGTGTCAAAATTCACTCCACCAATGCCCTCTGAACCCCACGCGCCACGGACAACAGAGGGAACCTTAGAGTGGACTGGACCGGCCATCATTCACCATTCACACTGGGGCAGGCGCCCAACACATCGCACCCGCTGGGACCAAACACGATCTCCATGGCCACGCTTTCGAAGTGGTGCTCGGCTCCGGCCACGGGCCTGCAGACCATGTCCAGCCCAGCAACAGCCAGACAGCAAAGAAGCTAGCTGCATATGCTTGTGGCGGGAGCGCGGAACCACGGGTCGCCAGGTGGGACTGCTCGGTGACAACAAGCAGCTGCCCATTGTCAACACGATGACGAACGTGCCCACAAACTCGGCGCACAGGCGGCGACGTAGATCAGCCCTGATGCGACACAGAGCACGGAAGAGAGAAGCGAAAGGGGGAAACATCAGGGCGCAAGAATCGTACAATGAAAGGGACACTGTTGGCAACACTGGGAGCCATTCCAAGACAGATTGTGCCCCCTAGAATATCTCCTCGCTTCCCTGTACTGGTTCGCTTGTGCTGGTTCAACTTTCATAGTACCTGCGCAGTGTGCCCTCGTATACTGGATGGGGCATCTGTTGGGCCGATCGGAAAGCGTGGATCGGACCCGCCATCGGACCCTGCGAAGGATCGAGCGGGAACAAGGAAAGCGACGAGGCGGCCAGAATGAGGGTGGAAAGCAGATGTGATACCATCTACCACGCGATACCCCTCAATGAGCACCCGATGACCATCGCCTCGAGCAGCCCCAGGGTCAAAGTCTTATGAGCTGAATCAGAGTGAGGGGGCCGAACTGTCAGTCATGGTCCCTGGGCACGTGCCTGAAAGCAGGTTCCTCGGAGCGGATTGTTGTTGCAATGCTGATAATGTTGATGTTGATGTTGACGTTGACGTTGATATTGATATTGTTGTTGTTGTCGTTGTTGTTGTTGTTGTTGGTTTTGTAGTTGGTCTTATTGTTGGTGTTCTTGTTGTTGGTGGTGTTGTTGTCGCTGATGTTGTTGAACCCTGACTGCTGACGAAGAAGTATTGTTGATCCACCCCTCTGGGGCACATGGCGTTGTTCAATTAAAGTGTTCCTTCCGGTGCTTACACCCTGTTTTTCTTTTACAAGGGAAAGCGACAAAAGGCCACCAAACTGGGCCCCTGGCCCCCGAATTACAACAACAACGGCTCCCGCCCGATACTTCCTCACAGGTTATTTCATATATGCGCTCTCGCGCGGGACTTCCGGAGAATGTATCCAGACATCGCGCTCTCGTGTGGGATTTCCTCGCCATGTATGCCGAACTCGCGCCTGCAGGAATCACGCTCTCGCTGTTGCTTTTCTGATGATTGATTTGGGAATCGTGTTATCGCTCGAGACTTCCTCGCGATTCATGCCCGTCTGGTTCTGCCACGTGCTTTCTGTTTCTGGCCCCCCTCCTGCTAATCTCTCTCGTGCTCCATCCTTCTCCCTCCCCCTTCCATCCGTCCTCGCTTCCCCTGTTTTAGGGACTGCGCCAACTATACGCGGCAGATAGGGAAGATATACCCCCGAGGGGGTACGATCGAAAATGAATAGGGCGGGTACCCAGAGTTTGGGATACACGTGTTGAGTGGCATGCGAGCAGGTAAGAGCGAACCGCATTAAAAGTATAGCTGTTGTTGCTGCTGCTGTTGTTGTCGTCGTTGTCATTGTCGTTGTCATTGTCGTTGTTGTTGTTGGTGGTGGTGTTGGTGTTGTTGTCGTTCTTGTTGTTGTATTGTTGTTGTCCTCGCCCGCGACCCATCCCGCGACCAACCCCGCGACCAGCCAGCGACCTACCCCCCCCTGCCCTCAATGTGCAAAAAAGTCGGCGCCAGCGCCGGGCTTACTCAGAACCTCGCAGACTGCCGACGACTCCGCCGCCACCTCACACTTATCCGCAACTGGGGGGTGCTACGTATCGTCTTCACCGACTGGAGGGCGGATCCCTGCTTGCGCGCAGCATTCGGTGATCTGGATTGCCAGACAAAGACATACTCACGCGTGCGCCCACAGATGCTGAACGTCCAAGGTGCAATAACGACGATGGCAACGACATACGCCGACAGAGTGCACACTGCAGCATTGGGCCGACATCCACGCTTGCAAGCACAATGTCTTCACAACAACCTGGGCAACAATACTTTTTGCACTACCGCGAAGCCCGCTTTGGTGCAAGCCCCTCCTCCGGCTTGCACCGCGCACCCGAGCTTCATTACATGCAAGGGAGCCGCGTTCTTAGACAGCCCTGGTAGACACAATCACCGAAGTGTCATCGGGCGTTACTTCATGGTGGGCGATAAATTGGGCGGGGGGGGGAACGCGCACCTCTGGTGCCCCTTTTGAGCCTCAAGGCACCCCTTTAGGGCATAGAACGGGCCGCTTTCTTCAAACCTCCATTAGTCGCCCCCCATTATGCAACGCCCGAAGTCAACAAAAAACACGGTGGCCAGAGCAAGCGAGGGAAGAGCGTGCAGTGGAAACACATTGTTTTAAGAGAGGTCGATTGTGCTCACTATCCCCGCCCCCATGGCTTGACAAAGTCGGACCTCCAATGGGTAAGGGGGGCTGCAAGGATTACTTGGGATGAGGAGGGGTGCCACACTCTTTTCCCGATGAGCGACGTCGGAGATCGAGAGGCCAGATACGTGAGCTGCCCCAGGAGGAGAAGTGCCACTACGGCTACTCAGTGCCACAGCATCTGTTTCACTGTCGTCGCTCGCACAACCTGCCCAGCCTATTCCAAACGGTCGCCAGGTCGAAGATGTTAGCCGAGGAGCTGAGGCTCACAATGTTTGGAAGGCCATTCGCAAGTATTGGGCCGTCCGACACTGCGCCATCTGACACGCACAAGCCATGCAAACCCAAGTCAGTAAAAACCCAAGCTGATGTGGCCGAAACTGCCCACACCCACATCGGACTCTTCCCAGCTCATCTGGCTTTTCCCGGCCCAGGCCGTACTACTCGAGGTCTCCCTAAGCCCAGGTTTACGTTGGACCTGCCCTCGTAAAGGGGGATGTTGGACGGCGAATTGAAAATACTACAAACATACCCCAAACATGGTCAAGCATACCCGACTCAAGCCCAGGCCGGAGTCATCAGACCACATCCCAAATCGAGCTGGACTCGTCCAGTCCTCTATGAATTCGAGGCCGATGCCACCCAGACTAGACCGACCCAGACGCATGCATAGATGGACACACATACACATGAGAGAGAGAGAGCATGCATTCGATCCAAGAACGCATAATCTCACGGGCTCTGAAAATACGGATCCGACCGATCCAGGCACATCCCAGAGGGTTAGGAGGCAACTACTGGGAGCTCTTCGTCGGAAGGATTGGGGAGGATTAAGCCCCATCGGGGGGCTGTTACGCCGGAGTGGGCCTCGGATGAAGCGAGATCGAGCCGGATTGAGCGGGATCAAGCGGGATTCAGCCGGATTCAGCGGGACTGAGCCGGCTCAGGCCGGACTTCGGACCAGGGCAAGATCAGAACCT